TTTAGTGATTTTTAAATATGGATATTTTTAAAAATTAAAATTGAATTATCGGATCACCGGTTTAACCATGGTTCGGATTGAATTTAAAAATACTGATTTAAATGGAAAATATTTTAAATACATAAATTCTTTCAAATTACCAAAATATTTGTTAAGTTATTTATGAAATTTTTCATCATAAAATATTATGTTCTTGCAAAGTTAAGACTAAAGTTAAGTCTGAATTTGGCTTAACCTATAAAATAAAAGTTAAGGCCAAAAAATTTATAAATTTGTATATTATTTTAAAAACTTTGGATAATTATTAACATCGTAAGTAACTAAACTCTCAATTTATTTTTTACGCAAACAATTAGTTGGAATTTGATTTTGCACTTCGAACAAACAAACAAAATTAGTGTTTTCACTACACGGTTACATCTATATAATATACTACTTGACGCTATTAATATAAAAGACAGTTTTGATATTGTTTGCGTCAATATCACGTTACGTTTGCAACAGATTGTTCTCAATTGGTAAAGATGGTCTCGAAACCAGACAAATGACCAGTCTTTGCAAATTATCTGGAAGATATCAAGACGCTTAAAGGGAGTTTCCACAGCTCGACAATCATCTATATACCAAGAACACTGAATTCACGGATGGAAAATCTAGCACGCAGTGCGAGAAAACAATCGTCTCTCATTGTTCACATGGATACAGAACTACCGGTTTGGTTTGCAGATGAGTCTGTTTGTTGATGTCAAAAAAAAAATATTGTTGTCTAAACATGGAATTGGAAAAAATCAAAACTATATAAAACTAAATTATATAGAATATTTTTGAAAATGCGGGTCATAATCTAGTGGTTATTACATTATGTTTGTAATATTAAAAACTTTATTTAACTAAAACTATGTCATGAGAATTGTGAAGGTATATGGTACACGAACCGAAATTATATATGGTTCGAATATGTTTGATATGCTTTATATAAACTAAAGGTGTTGATGTTTAAATAAAATGGATTTAGAAAAAATTCAGAATCTGAAAAAAAATTATAGGTTTTAAATACGCCAATGGCAATGGCATGTAAATATTAGCAAAACAAAAAGATAGTTAAAAAAGAACTTTCTGTTTTAAAAATATTGATTTGGAACCGAATTAATTGAATTTGAATAATTTTTTAACCTAAATTTAATCGAAAACAAAAACTTCGGTTAGTTTCAGTAAAAATATTTAAAACAAAACCATGCAAACTACTGGAATCTCGCAGTCCTAGTTACACCGACATATGCTCCGTCAAATTTGGGAGAAATCCGCGAGCCCACATATTACTTTAGTCACTAAATATAATAAATTATTTATCATATATATTTAGTAAAAATCTTGTATGATAAAAATTTTGTATCAGTTAAAATATATTTTTCTAATATTAAAATAATATTTTAACCAATTTATATAGCATATGTATAATATCTATAACAAATTTAAAATTTTAATTAGTTATAGATATTATACATATGCTATATAAATAGGTTAAAATATTATTTTAATTGCAAATTTGCAACTTATCTAACAGATCACTATCCTATCGTCCGCCTCTACCGCTTTCGATTTTCAGTACCAGGGATGTAAACCATTAAGAAAACAAACTTGCAAGATTAACTAGAGACAACTCTCTTTACCTTACACATTTGATATTGGATTTGCTTAGTTTGTATGAAAAAAGTCTTAATCAGAATTTTAAAAACAAACTTGGGTTTTGTAAAAGTATAATTTATAATATGATGATATAGTTATCCACATATCTGTATATTTATTCTTGTGTATTCACTTACTTTATTAATTATGTACATCTACGAATAATCTATACTATCAAAACAATCTATACTATCAAAACAAAATTTCTATTAGGATTCTGCTCTTAGTTTTTAAAATTATTTACAAGACAGTGTTATTTTCATTTTTGAAATTTTTGAATAAATTTTGCTCAGTATTTCAGCCAATTGTAATGCATGATTTATTGTCCACTCACATTGCAGCAGCATTTACAAACATTATTAATTCCACAAAACAAAATCAAACGAGACTATACTTTATGTGTATGGTCTTCTTCTTCTTCCTTTTCTTCTTCCACCATCTCTGCAGTCTTGCAGATAACTTCATGATTCTTAAAGTCACATATTTGTTTGCTATACTCCACAAAAAAATGTATTAACGGATTCACAACCAACAGGGATCTAATAATGATGCAACAATAACAAAAGAAATTTGAATTGGTAAACACGATATTTGTAATTCAGTGAGATTCTAATCATGATTTTATATACACCAAGTCACATATGTTAATCTTCAATAATTCAGAACAAAACCTTTAAGTTTAGACTATTTACATCAATATTTATCTCAAACAATGATTTTCATTACAAATTAGAAATACTAATTCATATATGCTAATTTATTTTAAAAATCTTATTAATCAAATCTCCATACTTCTTGGAATTCACTAACAAACACATAAGACCACCTCTATCGAGGGACTCTTAAAACAGTTTTTAAACAAAAGTCCAATAAAAACAAATGAAAAAGAGACAAAAAGGAGAGAACCGGTGTTTAATTTGGACTTTTTGGAATTGTTAAGGATCTTACGTGTAAGCTGATGAATGGACCTCTCATTTATATCTCTCTCTTTCGTCAAGGCAACATCGCCGATCTACTTTTCGATGGAAATCCTCACATTATGAAATGTTGCCTGGTGTGATCTTGTGCTTGATGGAAATCCTCACATTATGAAATGTCTAGTTGTTAAAGTTTGATGTTTGAACCATGTAATGGTATTTTGGTGGTGAACATTATCTTGTGGTTCTACATAATGTCCTTATCATAAGACAAACATTGTTTTTTTCTTCTGTTTTTAGTGATAAGCCTTGTCTATGTCAAATTAGCTGCTGTTTTCTTTCTCTATCTATCAGCCGGAAAGAAATGTTTCTGTTGTCCCGTCAGGGAGTGATTAATAATAATATAATATTTAAATTAAATAAAACATTGGTCTTTAACTTTGTTGTGCTATTAGTTAGTGTTTCAAAACTTCTCTTGGTTCTTAAGCAATATGACAATCACAAGTCTTATTTGTTGCTAGACTTAACATTTCTGTACTCGAATTAAAAGGTGATTTGGATGGATTTATGATTGTTAGGTATTAGCTCACCAGAGACTTTTGTTCTCTTGGCTATAAATTGTCGATAAATTTATGAGTATGCATATATTTTTCTCGTACACTAGTATCAATTTTAATTAAGAATTCTTTGATCCAGCTATCAATATCTATAATACTCCTAGTAATTTAGATTTTGTGTTGACATATTAATTTGCAATTTGAAAGGTAAAACACATTCATATGTATTTACATGACCTTTAATAACACAACAATCTGTCTTACGCCTGCGGAACAGTTATACATTTGTAAAATTGTTTTGGAAAAGGTTAAGGTTTTATACTTTGAAGAACAGGGCCGATCATGAATTTTAGAAGTCATTGGAGATCTAATAAAAATTTAGTTAAAAATGTTTTTATACAGCTTTGAAAGTATTTTTCTATAAATTTGAAGGCCTATGCCAATATAATATTTTTTAAAACTTAGGAGCCATAAACGAATGTTTCATCCGATTTGACTCATGACCGACACTATTAAATAAGTAAAAATAATACCTTGATTACACATTTTCTACATATAGGTGTAAGTAAGATTATTATTATTTTTTCTTTTTAGACAGATTATTATGTTATTAGAGGTCATGTAAATACACATCTATACTATTAAAGAAGAATCTCATTTTAAAAATTTTGGATTGTGCCTTTGGTTTTCATTATATTTATAAGATAATACCACTTTTTATTTTTAAAATTTTAATTAACTAAACAAATAAATATTTCCTATATTTATGGTAACTGATAATTATTTCTATTTTTGCGATTAATAATAATTTTCTTATTATGAAAATTATACTTTCTATTTAATTTTAATATCATATTTTCATGCATCATATTATTAAATGATCAAAAATTAAAAATTATTATTTACTATGTCATTTTATCCATAATATTGATATGTCAATTCAATTTTTTATAAATAATTTTTAGATATAAAATAAGTAAAAATGTAAACTTATCATATGTAATTAATAACAAAAATAAATTAATATTTTTATATGAATATATTTTTTTCTATTACCATTGTTTCATTTTTTAAATGACAAGAAAAAATTCTTAAAGAAATTACAAAAATATCAATTTTCGCTAATATTAAAATATGAGTTATTTAACTATTTTTTTAGAAAATATTAGCAGTTTTATGGGGTTTTAATCGGATCAACGAATGTCATATTGTAGATTAATAGCGATTTTTAGTATATTTACCAATTTTATCAAATTTTTAATTAATAAGATTTTCATTACGAGATGCACCAGTTTAACTATGGGTTTGGGTCAGATATGAAAACATTACTTGAAAATCAAATTATAATATAATATTTTTATATATTAATAGAACAATTTTTCATTTTTTTGTGTTTAAATTATTAATTCATATAAATTTTTTTGTGTTTAAATTATAATTTTTTTTGTGAAATCTAGTTTTTAATTATATTGAAGATAAATGCAATGCAAACGTCGTCAACAGTTCCATTTTACGTCCATTTCATCCCCCATTATATAAGTTTACTGTTCAACAGAGATCACAAGGTATAGAAACAACACTTACCTATAGACATAAGCGAAACGAAACAAGACAATTTGCCGAGATATATAAAAGAACAACAACAACAGATCAAATGAGCGCATATGCCTGCACTACGATCATACATAAAAGGAAAAATAATATTGAGAGAAAAATGGGAAGTATTAAGATAAAAAGTTAAGAATCATACGTAGAAGAAACATGTGATTCTTTATTTATTTATTTACCCAGTATCGCCCTCTCGCTTCTTTACTCATTGTTTTGTATGTACTTATTCAAATTAAGAAGCGTGCCTGTAGCAATGCGTGATGACGCTGCACCCACGCCTGTAAGGGTTAGCCCTTTTCCTTTTCTTGCAATCGTAGTAAGACCGGCCACGACGGCTACACGGCACATTGTTCTTCTTGAGTGCATTGTAACTGATGTACCTGCGACTTGCGGCTAGTTGGCGCCTGTTGGTCTCAGAATCCATCAAGGACTCAAGCCCATCTTCGTCTCCAATGCAGCCTTGGCCATTGACACAAGATTTGGTGAGGGACCAAGTGACATTGGCTGTTTCCGCGACTACGACCAGGGTCAAGAGACCAAGAATCAACAAGAACTTGATACCCATTCAGAACTATAATGGTGGATTCTTCTACACCCTTCCTTGTGAAAGGAAGGAGAAATAGAAGCTGTCTAGCAGAAGAACTAATGAGGATGCTTTTGTTGGAGATAAGAAAAGGGGAAGACAGAGTGTAATGTTTTGGTTTTTATTTTTTGTGGTTATTAATTTTGTTTTCTGGAACTATTGGCCCTTTTTAGGATTTAATCTTTTAATTGATTGGTGTCGTTGAATTCTTAGTTTAGTTCTGTTAATTTTTATTTGCGCCCCTCCTTTTTGATCGGAGAGACTCAATTAATTAAAATGTTCAAATTAGCTTGCATGTCCAAGGGTTAATTGCGGAGTGGCTCTCAGCATGCTATGTCTTATTTTGCACTTTTATGTTCAAACCATTATTTCCAGATATGTGGATCATTAAATGTAGGCCAGCATTCCCTTTGCGTTACCGTCCCGAGATCTGTTAGGTTCCTTCTAGATGGAGGAAACCTATTGGGTTTGGTTGATGATAACCAAATTTAAATGTTGGGCTAATGATATTTTATCCATGAGATTAGTATTGTGCCTTGGGGTTAGTGAGACACTATATAAAGTCTCTTAATCTAATTTTGTGGTAAGACTTTTGGAGATACACAAGAAGAAAAATAAAGGAGGCAAAAGAGAGAAAAGAGAGAAGAGGCAGATTTTTGTCTGAATTTGTTAAGGCAGATTTGGAAGGTTAAACGGACTCTGTTTAGGCTGATATTTTGTGGGAAGCTTCTTCAGTCAGTGGGTTAAAGGTTCACCGAAGGGATTCGGTTTTCAACGGTTGGATCTTCTGTTGTCTGGGTTTTATTGAAGCTGGTTGTCACAGTTCTTCAGCAGTGCTGTCTTGAGTGCTGGTAAATCCGACGGTGAGATCTTCTCGGTTTGAGCTGAAATTTGGCAGATATGTTGTTGACTTGTTTATATTGGATTTGTACGGTGGGATTAGTCTCTGGTTTCCGGAATCCTTGTGAGATGAGGTCGTTTGGTTACTGCCAGTTTTGAAGCTTTGTGTTACTCTCTCTTGTTGTTGTTCTTGTGTTGGAGATAGCTATTTGTAGCTGAATCTCTGTTATGTTCAGGTTGTTGAACAGGGAGGACGTGGTTGTACTCACATACATTTATATAGTGGATTGTTGAGTGGACTATGGTCCCGTGGTTTTTCCTTCTCATGTCAAGGAGGTTTTCCACGTAAAAAGTGCTTGTCTCATTTAGTTTCTGCTTATATTATATCCTGCTATTGTCGAAGTATTTTCCTCATAGATTCACACAAGGTCAGGGGAACTTGAACACATATTCCGCTGCGCCGTGTCCCGTTTTCCCCAACAAAGTGGTATCAGAGCTTCTGGTTTTCTTAGAGCTTTGGGTTTGATAACTTCGAGTTATTGTTGCTTGTGTGAATGATGGAGAATATGGTAACAAACATGGGCAGGATGATAAGCTTGAATGGTGCTAATTATCATCTATGGTAGGGAAAGATGGAGGATCTTCTCTTTGTTAAGGAATTCCATCTTCCGGTATTTCAGGAGAAGAAACCTGATAACAAGACGGATGATGAATAGAAGCTGTTGCATAGCCAAGTGTGTGGGTTGATAAGACAGTGGGTAGATTATAATGTGTTGCATCATATTGAGACTGAGATTGATGCTCGTTCTTTGTGGTTGAAGCTGAAGCAGTTATATGCTAGGAAGACCGGAAATAACAAGATGTACATGATCAAGAAGTTGATTGAGCTGAGGTATCAGGAGGGAACTCCAATGACGGATCATCTGAATGTGTTTCAGGGATTGCTCAACAAGTTGTCTGATATGGGCATCAGATTTGATGATGAGATTCACGGTCTGTGGCTTCTAGGTACTTTACCAGACTCTTGGGATGTTTTCAGGTGTCTCTTTGTAACTCCACGTCGGAAAGTATTATTTCGATAGATTCAGTGAAGAACAGTGTTCTTAATGAGGAAGCAAGAAGGCAGTCAAATGCTAGTACTTCGCGTTCAAATGTCTTAGTTACTGAGTTAAAGGGGAGAAGTTCACATAGAGATTCCAAGAGGGAAAAGAACAGGAGCAAAAGCAAGTCAAATAGATTTGCAAATTTGGAGTGCTATTTTTGTCATAAGAAAGGGCACATGAAGAAGGATTGCTGGAAGTTGAAAAACAAATAGCAAGGTAATCAAGAAGAGAAGGTGGATCGGGACCGTCACCGAAGATCAGTTTCTCATTCTTCTTAAGGGTGACGCCATTAATGTCGCATGCCAAGACACCAGTTGGGTGATTGATAGTGGAGCTACTACTCATGCTACATCACAGCTGGATTTGTTTTCTACCTATACTACGGGTAATTATGGTTTCGTGAAGATGGGGAATGATGGTTTGGCTCAGGTTGTTGGCATTGGTAATATTTGCTTGGAAACTAGTCTTGGGATTAGGCTGATGCTTAAGGATGTTAAGCATGTTCCTGATATTAGGATGAATATGATATCAACACGAAGACTTGATGATGAGGGTTTCTACAGTTTGCACGGTGGTGGTAAATGAAAGCTCTCTGGTGGTTCTTTGATTGTGGCTCGAGGTGAGAAGTCTTCATCTTTCTATTGGATGCAGACTAAGGTCTCCAAAGATGTTATTAATGCGGTGAAGAATGATAATGCCATGGAGTTATGGCATAAGAGACTCGGTCACATGAGTGAGAAGGGAATGGCTGTGTTGTCTAAGAATGAGGTGATTCCAGGAATCTCTGGTCTGTACCTGCAGAAGTGTTCGCATTGCTTTGCGGGAAAACAACACAGAGTATCTTTCAAGTCTTCAGCGCCTTCTAGGAAACCCGAGGTACTGGATTTGGTACACTTAGATGTGTGTGGTCCAATGAAGACAAGATCTCTTGGCGGCGCATCATATTTTGTGACTTTCATTGATGATCATTCAAGGAAGTTGTGGGTATTTCTTATGAGGACGAAAGATCAGGTTCTAGGATATTTCAAGCATTTTCTGGCATTAGTTGAGAGACAAACGGGAAAGAAGCTGAAGTGTATCCGCAGTGATAATGGTGGAGAGTATTCTGGACCATTTGATGCTTATTGCAAAGAGCATGGTATAAGGCATCAGTTCACGCCGCCTAAGACTCCACAGTTGAATGGGTTGGCTGAAAGAATGAATAGAACGATTGTCGAGAGGATGAGATGTTTGATCTCACAGTCAGGCTTATCGATGACTTTCTGGGGAGAAGCTTTGAACACGGTGGTTCATGTGCTAAATTTGTCACCGAGTGCTCCATTGGAGGATGATATTCCAGAGAGGGTTTGGACTGGTAAGGATGTTTCTTACAGTCACTTAAGGGTCTTTGGGTGTAAGGCGTTTGTTCATATTCCCAAGGATGAGAGATCGAAGCTTGAGATGAAGTCACGGCAGTGTGTGTTCATCGGTTATGGTCAGGAGGAGTTCGGGTACAGATTTTATGATCCCGTTGAGAAGAAGCTCGTAAGGAGCAGAGATGTTGTGTTCATGGAAGATCAAACGATAAAGGACATTGACAAGTCCATAAATCCAACTCAGGTTTTTGAGGGTTTGATCGATACAGAGGCTACTTCTTCTACATCGGTCCACGGTGAAGTTGAGGTTGAGGTTCAGAATAATACACCCAGTGCAGATGCTCCCGCACATGAAGATGGTAGTGGTGATCATGGTGACGATCATGGTGAGACATTAGCTGCTGAGAACCAACCTACTGTTGTTAGAAGATCCGAGAGAGGTCTTAAACCGTCGACAAGGTATGATCCTAGTGAGTGTGTTTTACTTACTGATGGGGGAGAGCCTGAAAGCTATGATGAAGCTTTGGAGGACGAACACAAGGATATGTGGTTTGGAGCCATGGATGAAGAGATGGATTCTTTTAAAGATAATCATACATTTGAGTTGGTGAAATTGCCTAAGGGAAAGAAAGCTCTGCTTAATAAATGGGTGTTCAGAATTAAGCATGAGGATACAGATTTTCCACCTATATTCAAGGCTAGATTGGTTGTGAAAGGCTACAGCCAAAAGAAGGGGATTGATTATGATGAAATCTTTTCTCCTGTTGTGAAGATGTTATCTATTCGAGTTGTTCTTGGATTGGCAGCGAGCCTTGATCTAGAGGTTGAGAAAATGGATGTGAAGACTGCTTTCCTTCATGGTGATTTAGAGGAAGAGATCTACATGGAACAACCAGAAGGCTATGTGAAAAAGGGCAAGGAAAATTTGGTTTGTCATTTGAAGAAAAGCCTTTATGGATTGAAGCAAGCACCGAGGCAGTGGTACATGAAGTTCAAGTATGTTATGGGGGAGCATGGTTATGCAGAGACTGATTTTATCATCTTGTTGCTGTATGTCGATGATATGTTGATTGTGGGCAAGAACATGGAGAGAATTAAGAAGCTGAAAGTTCAGCTAAGAATGTCCTTTGCTATGAAAGATATGGGTCCAGCGAACAGATTCTTGGTATGAGAATTGTTCGAGACAGAGGTTAGAAGCTGATTCACTTGTTTCAGGAGAAGTACATTGAGAAGGTACTTAAAAGGTTTCACATGGACAAGTCTAAAGTGTTGAGTACTCCTCTTGCTGCACACTTAAGACTAAGCAGTCAACAAAGTCCGAAGACATATGCTGAGAAGGAAGATATGGCGAAGGTTCCATATGCTTCTGCAGTGGGTAGTTTGATGTATGCCATGGTCTGTACAAGACCGGATTTAGCCTACGCCGTTGGAGTTGTCAGCAGGTTTATCTCCAATCCAGGAAGAGAACATTGGAATGCTGTGAAGTGGATTTTGAGATATCTCAGAGGGACTTCTGGTCTGAAGATTACTTTCAGGGGTAAGAAGCTTTCGCTTGTCAGTTTCACTGATTCTGACATGTTTGGAGATGTTGATTCTAGCAAGTCTACTTCGGGTTACTTGGTAACATTTGCGGGTGGAACTGTGGCATGGCAGTCAAGGCTGCAAAAGTGCGTTGCACTATCTA